AGACTCATCTTCAGAGCTCAAATCCTTCCTTTTTCTCCGACCTCCACATCCAACACTCTGCTCAGTCACAGTAGATTCCTCCATGGACCCATCTCTGTGACCCGAACTCTCCCCAAACCCGCCCAAATTGCCCATTCGGACGCCCAGTCTCCCTGCAGTTGGGTTGATTGGGAAAGGCCAAATCTCAGCAAGGCTGTAAGATGAAGGATTGGCTGCTGAAAAAGATGACTCATTGATCAATGGAGGATCCATATTGAAGGACCCGTATTCATGAAAAATGGGGAGAGTTTTGGTTTTGGGATTTGGATCCAAATGTTGGGTTCTTCAAAAGAAAAGATGGAAAAAAGTGTTATATTTTTATGGTTGAAGTTTGGGCTTTGGGGTGGGAGAGTGGAGAGAAGGGTTTAACCTTGGAAATGGATTGAAGGGGGCTATTTAAGCAGTTGACAAAGGGAGAGAAAGTGAAGAAGAGAAGCTTCAAGTCCAAGAACTGATTAAGAGAGAGAAAGGTATGAAGATGGGGACTGCGGATGCAGAGACAGTGCTCTGCGTGTGTGTGTGATCTTTGTAATTGTTTGGACTTCGGACTGGAACTCAAGGGTGGTGCGCAATGTGCATACCCTGTTTTTTAGTTCAAGAGATAATGTTCATAGCTTACAAATATTAAGAGTTATGGGTTTCAAAAACTAAAATGGACTGATTATTTCTAAAATAAATAAAAAATGGCAGAAAAAAAAAGAAGAAAAGAAACACGTTTTATTTCTATATGCAGTATTCCTAAACATAATTTTACTTTGGGGGGAGTGTGTGAGATCTACGGCGAGAGATACTCGCACGTTTTGTAAACAAGGCTATACTCGCCTTCTTTGGCATTCACGTTTACAAATGGGAGATTTGGTAGCACACCCGTTCTAACTCCTAAGATTGGTGGCGAGTGTGCGTGGTTCGTCGTGTCTTCAGTGGGTACGGTCGACATGGGATCAAGTGCGTTCAAGTACATTTTGGAAGCAATCCAATGCAAACCCACATATTATCTGATTTTAAGCTATAATTTTTTATCTTAAGCTAAAATTTTGGATTAATATAGATGTATCTTGACATATGTATATACCTAATATTTTATCTTAGGGGAGTACCTAAACAGTCAAAAAAAACCTTAACTCGGAGGTTTTGGGTTTGAATCTCTAGACAACAAGGGCGAGATAAAATTATTTTTTATTATGTATGCTAAAATGATATTAAAATGGGAAACAAATTTATGTTAATATCAACATTAAAAATGTTAGTTAAACCTAATGTCATATGTAAAAGGTTTTTGTTAGACAGAGAAAGATGCCTCTAACCATTGCCATTTTGGACACAGAGGGTTTGGTCCTAAAGACAAATACAATGACTTGTTTTGTCATGGCCTTTGTAGATAAAAGATCCTTTCGGCACCATAACTATCATTGCCTAACCCTATCACTCACACGCCACTTGTCTCGTACCTAACGTGCTTAGCCAAAAACATATACCTAGCTAACCAAGTGTGACTGATCCTTAGAAAGCCTCTTTTTGCCATGCCAAAGATGGGCTAAGCCACCATGTGCTAAGTAAACTTGCCAGTGCAAACTTGACTAAGGCTTTTACTGTCACTTACAGTTTTGTTTTAAGAATGACTAGCTTAGAGCTAATAACTCTTAATTAAGTGTGCATAATTGATTCTTGAAAACATGCTTCAAAAGTGGCTTTGTATGTAGAAATAGCTTGAGGCTCGGGGGTTTGGAAAATTCCTTCGCATCTTGTCCACCTTATTCTCAAAAGTATATGCTCAAGGCTAACAGTAATAGGCTTTGCAGCAATTTTCACTGTTACATCAACATAAGGCAACACTATTTGGTAGGTCATGAAGTGTAAAACCTATAACTAAATACTATTGACATGATAATTGTACAAGTTTAAACTACATGTCACTACAAAAGAAATTATCTTTTTTTGATGAAAAAAAATTTGTTTTTGGAAAATTTCAACGATTTCCAACAAAAATTTATTTTCATTTTTCCCAACCGATTTCCAAAATGGAATTTTTTCAAGAAAAAATTTATATTAGAAATCCACCTAAAAATTTTTTGATGCAAACAAAAAAAAAATTCTCTAGCCAAACTTTTCAACTGATTTTCAATGAATTATTTTCTCAAAAAAATTAAACCCATTAAATTTTTCAACGGAATATTTCGTTAGAGAATTTAGTCAGTATTTCTATTTTAAAATTTTTATTTAAAATATATTAAGAATTTTTTAAAAATTTTATTAATTCTTTATCAAAAATATATTAATAAAATTAAATATATCCATATTGAGTTTTATAATATTAAAAATTTAAATATGTTTTGCTTTGCTTATTATTTTTTATATATTGTGAAAACTTTATTGAATCATAAATTATAAATTAATAGTTCCAAATTTATTAATGTTATAAAATTAAAAAGTTTATAAAAATAACATAAGAAATTTAGGTAAATACTAATATTAGTTAATAAAAATTAAGAAGACTGATATGTATAGTAAACTTATTAATATAATATATTTAAAATATATTAGTTTATTATATGTATACAATATAGAATCATAACAATAGAATATATTATATATAAACCTGTATTAATTACAAGTTATCCAGTTTAAATGATATAACTTTATAAGTTAATATATATTAATATGTTATAATTATTTCACACATCTATATGACTCTATAGTTATATATATATATATATATATATATATATATTTATATTGATTATAATATACACATATCTATTTTATGTGTATGCATTAATACTATAATTTATACTAAATTTTATTTATATGATTACAGTTAATAACTTTATTAATTATTACTTTAGTTTTTATAATATATTGTTGACAATAGTTATTAGTTATACAAACTTTGTAATATATAACATTATAATATATAATTTGTGTCATTTCTTATATAAACAATAAAGTATATATAACATTACGTTTTATATTGATTACATTCATATCAAAAAATTCTAATAATACTTTGAGTACATCATTCTTTACCATTACTTCATATTATAATTTTAATGATTAAAATCATGGGTATTTATAAATATATAATCATATAAGGTATACAAAAATAATAATAGTTGATGTACTAATATTAGTTAATATAAATTAAAAAGAATGATAGTAAGTTTAATTAATAATATACTTAAAAATATTAGCTTATTATATGTGCGTATTCCAATCATAATCATAGCAATTTAATATTAGCTATATATATTTATAAATTTGTATTAAGATGAAATTACCAGTTATATATTTCAAATAATACAACTTATGTGTTAATATTAATATGTGATAGTAAATATCCTACACATTAATATATTATAATTATTACAACTATATATAGTAATGTTTTGTAATATAAGATGATATCCTAGGGAACACACGAATAGTGCTTCCAAGGGAGCACCATGATGGGTGCTCCATGGGAGGGAGATCTAGCTCCAATCGAATTTGAAGAAAGAGGGATATTTTTTAAATAAAAATAAAAAATATATAGTTTATATAGTGTGGTAATTTTTAAATTGATGAAGGGTAAAATTATCATTTCTTGCCACATCATCAAACTAACGAAAATATTAATAGTGGACTAACAGCTGGACTTATGTGTCTTGTAAAAAATATTTTTTTGGATGAATTGTCCATTTTGAAAATTAATAGACCCATATGGAATTATGACTAAAAGTTTTACCCTAAAATTATTTACAAGCCTGATCATACTTATTTACAAAGTCAATTAAATGTGTATTTGGAATGGCATACATGCATTGTTACCTAAATGTTTTATTGGTGCAAAAGCTATAACCCCTTGACTTGTCCCCTTCCCATATCTAATTATGAAATCTTTGTGACTCACATGTAAATTTTTTCTATTTTTTTTGCAAATCAATGATAGCTGTCAAGCCACTTGTGTCACAGAGACATCGTTCATTCTTCTTTTGATAAGTGACATAGCAACCTTCATGAAGTTTAAGGAGCCAAGTCATGTTTCACTTGATAAGTCGGTCTTTATATTTCTGCATTATAAATACATGTTTATGCGGAATGTTAAGCTATTGAATGGCAAGTTACTTCTATGAATTTATGTGAGTGTTATAGACGATGGCCTAAGCGCCCACATAAGCACCTGAGGTTCATTTACAGAATTTTCATGAAATGTACAAGACACAAATATTGTGAAAGGAAAACGTAAACACAACTTATGTTGTGAAGTTCCATAATCGTATATTTATGTCTTTGTGTGGATGCTTATGTTTATGTTGACGAATGTTTATTATAAGTAAGATGATGATAGTGGCAAAAGAACCGTATGTGATTGAATAATGTAAAGAGGCTTACTAGGGTCTAGGGAGCCATACCTACATAGGTTTTAATACCGGTTACGATCCATCTAAAAAGGAGATGTGACAGTAACCCAGCCCTTGAACACACTTGAAATGCAATGAGTTGGTATGAACAAGTTTTACAAACTTCTATTTAAATGTTACTTTCTTCATATGAGACTTTCACTAACAAATAATATTTTGATTTTAAATTCAATGACATAAAGTTGAGGGTTTATTATTTTTGACTACCTTAAATTTCTCATCTAAAAATTTGACATGCTTAAATTAATGGATCTTGAAAGCTCATGCCTTTTTAAATTTGAAGTGACATGCATGAAGCAGGTTAACTGGCTTTCCTTTTTCATCATGAAAGCAAAATTGATATCAAATTGTTGGAATTTGGACTGACAAAGTGTCCACATATCAAGCTGTCAATGCTGATAAGAAAAGGGTGGAGTTGTAGTGTAAATTCCTTTGAGATAAACTCTGAGAAAATGAAGAAGGGGGGGTAGTGTCATCTGTCATGCCGAGTAAGATTGCATCACATTTGAACCAATCAAAAAAGACTTGCGTGCCCAAATAGAATTCCCCATGTTTTGGGAGAATTATTTTAACAATAAATTGCTCGTGAAATTTCCAATTGATCCTAAATTCCTAAACCCTTACAGCCAAATGAAGAATAGGGAGATTGACCTTAGACATGCTTTCCACACACAAAAGGTTGGGTAGGAGGAGGGACTGAGCCACTAACATATTATCAAGTATTTAATTAGGGGTTAAAGAAAGGACAAGTTATCAACTGGAAAAACAGGCTTCAGCTTTTATCTTCTTCTTGCTTCGGTTTAATCCAGAAATGTTTAATTAACTATGTGCATATACAAGTTTTTTGTCTGTTCGCTGTGCGTAATATTTGCTTGCACGCCATGAAATTGGTCAGAAATTGAAGTTACGTCCCGGAATTCACGCTCCGAGTACAACTCCGAGTTGGCCCAAGTCACAGTGATAATTGCTGCTGAAAGTTTGGTTGGTGAGCCCAACTCTTAGTGTGAACAGAGGATGGCTGCTTTTCGGAACCGGGGAAAATTCACTTTTGTTGGTGTTTAAATTCGAACGTAAAAAAAAGAAAACAATCAAAATCTTTGCCACCTTTATAAACAATTTCTTTTATTAAAAGTTGATAAATATATTAAAAAGTATAATTACTCAAATTATTAATACAATGATATTAATATATTTAAATTAAAAAATTATTAAATTATTAATTATATTCGAATAATATAATATCAAATCATATTACAAACAAATATAATTACTATTATATATAT